AGTTTCTACGTTGGGGAGAAGCAGGGACCAGCCCTTTCTTCAAACGGGTCCAGTCTCCTTGAGCTTCTGGACACAAAGAAACGCCAGTCTTCGGTGCTACTCGCTCAGTTACTCGGCCTCTTGCGTCATGTCTGAATTCGCTCCCCGCAGGAGTGTTGTTGCAGTGGGGGCTCGTGAAAATCTTGGCGAGTTTCGGACTCTCCAAACCATTTTCTCGCTTCCCCCCCCCCTTCCTACGCCACATGCTAACCCTCTTTACAGATATGAACTGATCTTTCAACATCTTATCTCTTTTGTGCAGGAATGTTTGTTGATAGGCAACGAAACCAATAACATTCGAAAGTAATTTGTAATTTAGGTAGAAGTTACTCAAAAAAAGTAATTAAACTACTAGTTACCGAAATAAAAATGTAATTTAAAGTTACTAAACTGCTAAGAAAAGTAGTTAAACTACAGTAAGTTGAGTAGAGTAGTTGAACTACGTACATGTCTGCTTTCAAGGGATGGTTGCTACTGACGAGCACCTGTCAGTCTCCCAGATGACTGTGAGCCGGGCTGTCAGAGTTTTTGCGGCTGCCATCGTTGAGTGCCTCGGCAGCCGTTGGATTAACTTCCATGCGGAAAGCAAGGCCGCCACCAAGAGGGCTTCGCCCGAGCCGACGGCATGCTTGCCGGCGTCGTTGGGCGCGTGGATGGGACTCATGTAGCGTTTTCCACTCAAATTCTACTGAAAATATTGTCTGAAGAAAGTTTACATGCCTGCGCCACCAAGGCGGTGAACTCGAAAACGAAACTGAAACCACTGAAACTCTCATCGAACCTGTCCCGCATGGTGGCGCTTTGGTACTTCCGAGTGATGCTGCAGACGCAGCAAATGACAGACATTGCTCGAGATTTGGCAGTGTGGTGCTGTTTACGTTGTCATCGCGAACATTGAATGCTAAAAAACGATTTATGTCTAATAGCACTGGCACCACTGATCTCTTAGTAGGCTGGATCGCGGATAGAGGCCTGTATTGCTGGGGTCGAGCGGCACCACCGGCAGTCATCGCTTGACACGAGCTATTACTTGCTCGGCCGTGAAACTTATATCGTGTTTTCCGCAAATAACAGGTAATATTGTGGGCAAGAATATTAAACGCGTTAGAATACCAATCCTTTTAAATAAATGTTGTGTCGTTGAGGGTCGAGGGCGGCTTTGTTGGGCGTTACCTGTGATGTGTTTAATGAGACGAGGGTTACCGAGAGTTATTGTGGAGTCATTCGTGATCTCGGAGTCATCAGAGCTCAGCAAACGACAAGTTCGAAGGCCTTTACTGGAGACATTTGCATCGTTTTAACCGCTTGTACATAGTACTCCTGTTGAAAGCTTTTTTTTCTTTTTTTTTTGACTGCTGCGTCAAACTGAAACTCGGAGCGTGCCGTTCAGTCGCTGAACGTGTCATTTATTTAGCAACCGAAGCAAGCGACGTCGGAAGAGTCGGTGGTACTACGGCCCATTTTTGTTTTTTTAAATCGACGTTCGAACGCTTGACGAATGTTTATTTGATCTCCACGCACCCGATATAATGTTGAAAGTAGTGAAACCGCACAATAGAGAGTTTTAGTAGATGGTTCCCATGACTCCGATAACGATATCCCGATACTTCGCCACCGCCTCCCTTGCGCATGTATAGTAGAGAGTTTTAGTAGATCGTTTCTCACTCCGATAACGATACCCGAAACTGCGCCGGAGCCATCACGCATGCGCTAGAGTATCGGGTGTTTCGGGCGCAGGTATCGGGAATATCGGGAAATATCGCGCGCACTCTCGTGCATCGCGAGAGTTGACGAGATCCGGCAAAAGCTGAACGATCATGGCCGCTCCACTCGAGCCTCTTTCTGCCCAAGCGGGTCGAAAACGATTCACGATCATCGAGGATATCCTCCTTTTAAGGGAAGTGCTTGCGGTAAATCCGTTTGTGAATTCTTCACGGTGGGATACAGTGGCCGCGAACCTAAATGAAGCACTGGGGAGGAACTTCAGTGTTCGCGGAGTGAGAGACCGCTGCGACCTGCTGCTCGGTCTGTTCAAGCGAGACGACCGCACAAACTTGAGAAAGTAAGTCGTTTTTGAGTCCCGTTTGAAAGTTCAGAAGCGTTTTAGCTGGGGTGCCTTCATGTGCGCTTTGCTTGGCGTGATGACATCTGGTCATTTTGTTTCGAACGCTTATTTTTATTTTTTTTGTTCTGAAGCGCGTGAAAGTGCATGTCCCTGCACGCGCTCGTGGTGCTGACTGTGCTACGGCGACATTTTGTTTCCTGCGATTTCTTTGTATTTTCCCTGTGAGCGCGTGCTGTCGGCATCGGGTACTACCAACGATGGCATCACCCTAAACAGAAGGACATTGAGGCACTCTAGTTTTAGCATACTGCCATACCCTGTCCAACAGCTGGCGCAACTGCGGGCTAGCGCGAGCCTGTTGTTTGGAAACGCACATGCCTGCGCTAGACATTTCGCGTAGGAAAGCGCGTTTTCAAACTACCGAGTTCGCGTTGCAGCTTTCGCGACACGGAGATGTACTCATGTTCGTTGACTGAAATAACAGATCTACGCTTGAGGAAGACAGGCGCACTTGTTGATACCGCTCTCCCCCTGAAACCCTTAGATCCGGAACGGAAGAGCAGTACACCGAAAAAGAGCAGCTGCTGCAGGATGTTGCTGACCTGGCCTGTGAATTTTGTTACAAGGTTAAGCCAGTGCTCAGGAAGGCGACAGCCACCGAGGAAGGTGCCACCACCACCTCCACCGCTGCGCTGGAACCGCGGGAACGTGCCACAGCCACCACAACCAGGCCGGCGACAAATCGGGCTGCTCGCGATGCTGCCACTACAGCGCGAGTTGTTGCGGCTGCAGCCGAGTACAGACCGGTCAATCATAATGCAGTGGCAGGGCAGTCTAGTAAGTATGACACGTGCGTCATGAACCCCACCTGGTTAGGAAAGTCAGGTCGTCATGACGCTCCATCAATCGCGTTTGTCTACGACTGATATTAGGCTACTCGCGAGTTCCCATCGAATAGCCTACTGAGGACGACTTACATGGTCTGCTGCTCTCAAGTAAAAGTGTAATTTACTTGGGTACATCTCTAGTTCCCAGAGCACAGCTTTGAGTAAACTGCCGAGTTCTGATTAGGTATGTTCTAAACATACATTAATGTATGTTCTAAACATACATTAATGTTTCAGGCATTCAGAAAATGCAGAATGCTAAGCCGGCATGAACCGCTTCTTCTATTCATGGAACATTTTCCTTCACGCGCCGCACATCGGAGTGTCGTGATGTGTCGAGGAAACGATAAGAGGCACTACATATTTTGGAATGGTCTTTTGAAGATCTGACTCCATCATACCTGCGTTGTATTTTTCATACATTTTCAATGCCCAGCTCCACAGCGTGTGTCATGATACACCACAAATATTTATGCAATACTCTATTTACAGGTTCTGAGAACTGCCAGTCTATCTTTGCTGACATAATGAACGGCGTGGAGGACGCCGACGCCTGGCAACCAGGCAACACAGACCAAGTTGTGGATCTGGCCCCAGCTCCTGTACCGCCGGTTCCGACCCCTGTGCCGCTGGTCCAACCCCCCTTGCCACCAGTCCAGGCTCGTGTGCCGGTTACTTCTGTCGCACGACCTAGGACTTGGGGCGGACAGGGTAAGCACTGCCATCTTTCAGTAGATGCTTCAAGCATACGTTAAACTTTTGAAAGAGGATACACATAACCCCATTTGTATAAATTCTCCAAATCTGCTCTAGAAGTTTTGGGCTGTCATTTACGTTTGTTATTTTTTGCTTACTAGACAGACATATCTCAGTCACTGTTTGAACACACATGAATTACCCAGTATTGTTTGTGCAGTACCTTCATTGAATGGCCAGGTCCAATAAAATAAACAGTCAATCAATTGTCAACCTACACACTAAGAAAAATTTTAAAAAAGTTGTTTATTTGATGCTGTGTGCATTGTTTCCTTTGTTGTATTTTTCCAGCAACCAGGCTGAAGCGGTACAGGGAGCACCTTGCATCGCAGGAGAAAAGAGCAGAAGAGGACCGCAGCATAAAAAAAACTAGAGATCGCTCTTGAGGAAAGGCGTCTCGCCATGGAGGAGCGCCAGATGGAGAGGCGCCTGGCCATTGAAGAGCGCCAGGTGACCTTAAGCGAAAATTGCTTAGCGTTTGAAAGAGAAAAATTTTATGTGCTACAGGAGGCTGGAGCAGAGGAGAGGAGGCTTCGTCTCCAACTGCAAGAACATTACCTTAAAGTAGTGAATGGTCAAATTAACAAGTAAAGTTAAGTGTGAGCAAGTGGTATGACATCATAATACATAATGCAATAAATCTTTCATTTCATTAAACAATGTAGTTGAAAAAAAAACGGCAGGGGTAGGCCCGTTCGATTTACTATACAAAGACATATTTTGAGTGTAATATTGAACAGACAGCAAATGCTATGTTGGCAATGACTGGCAAAGCAATAACATGAGACACTTGAAAATTACCACGCTGATAAACTTTATGTCAAGCCGAAGGCGCTTGACGAATAACAGAAATAGCATATACTTAACATATAAACCTGTATCGTTCACAAAACTAAAACAATATGGGAACACGGTTGCTGCTTTGAAAAGAACACAAGAGGCAGATAAAAGAAATGCAGCAGGTAAGCAACCAGACAATTGCACAAAAGTCACCCCGTGGAATAAATAGTCATAAAAGATGCTATGGTCTGTTGCAACTAAGAAGGTAGGGCGAGAAAAAGAAAGACAAAGGAGAGGAAGCAGATGAAACGCTAGAGGACGAGGTTTCCCCCACTCCTCTCCAGGGTTCCGTCTACTTCCTCCTCCCTGGCCTCCCTTTCCCTCGCCCTACCCTCTCGAGTTGCAACATGCAACAGACTATAGGCACTCGGACAAAAAAAAGATTGCACAAAAAGAATTCAAATTATACGAAGTCAATAACGAGGTGAAAGATATTCATCCAGCGTCGGCGGAGACAGCTGAAAAAACGTGGAGGTTTGGCTGCCATACAGGCACGTGTGGCAGTTTGTTAACAGTGTTGCAGCCTGATACATATCGCTCACGCGCTGCTGCCTGTGCTTCTGATTTTTTTTTAAATCTACAAAAGCGAAGAGAGTTGACACTTTCCCAAAGCCCCATTCTACTGCTTGCCTCACGCTGCTCATTTTTTTGTTAAAGTTCTGCTCTGCGGCAGTCAAGCTAGCACCCATGAATGGTTTCTGCAACAAAGGCCGCAAAGGATAGGCAGGGTCACCGTAGATCGTGTATACGCTGCCCTGCACGAGGTCCTCAAGCCTTTCATAAAGGCCGCTCAGCCGCAGGATACCTGAAAAAGGAGTCAGACGAGACACAACGATAAAACACTGAGTAGCATATAGTGACAATCACCACCTGCACGTCGATAAGCCACAAAGATCGACACGCCCTTGCCTCACTGCATAGAGCAAAACATTGATTTGTGTGACCTTGTTTGGCTTTGCCAATTTAGAGGTCAGAGGGTACTGTTGCCACTGCCACAGCCACCTTGTTTAATGTTCCAGTTTGAAAACATCCAAATTTGTTGGCATTTCAAACGCGAAGGGATTTACATCAGAGCTGTGGACGCATCAGCCGCCTCGGTCGAGGCAAAGCGTCGGCCTACGGATCCCCAGGTGGCGGGTTCGAATCCCCGCCGAGGTGCCAGCACTCTGATGGAACAGTCAAATTTGGGGGTTTTACGTGCCAAACCAACGACGGGTATCTGGCACGCCCCAGCGGAGGACTAAGGATTTATTTGGACCACCTGGGGATCTTTTGACGTGCAACCGAAAGCTCGGTTACACGGCGCCTCCTCTGCAATAAGCCTCCGTCAGATTGCGGGCACCTCGGCCGGGATTCGAACCCGCGACATGGGGATACGTAGGACAGCGCTCTCGCCTCGGAGCCACCGAGGCGGCTAGCACTCTGATGGAGGCTTATTACAGAGAAGGTGCCGTCGTAACCGAGCTTTTTGTTGCACATCGAGATACCCAGGAGGTATAAATTAATCCTCCACTGGTGCGTGCCAGTCGCCCGTCGTTACTTTGGCACATAAAGCCCTCAACTTTTACTTCTGTGGACAAATCATTCCCACCACGGCAGTTAGGCACAGTCTCAGGTTACCAGTTTGACATCGTTTTAGCTTGCTGCCCTTGTTCGGCCAGTGTCTTGCACTGCGTCAGCGACTGTGACTGCTGCCATCATGTGTTCAATAACTGGGCTAATGGTTACTGAAACATTGGTTTACTGGAATGCCCGATGATCTTGTGAGCTGCCAAGCTGGCAGCTCGCATGCAGGCTCTCGTCTGCACGATCGAACACGCTGGAAAACTATCCGCAACTCTGGCAAGCAGCCTAATGAAACAAGTAACCACGCAAGGGTAAGTGCTGCATTCAGTGGCAATAGGTCTACTGCAGTAGTCATAACTGACATGTTAGGATAGGAGTAAAGGACTGCCATTCCTGATCTATTCTCAGCTTTGTCTTCTTTTATTCCACAGTCCCAAGCTTATACAACAACGCCCTTTAACAAAAAAGCAATGGGACAAGTGTTTGCCTCCCTTCGTACTGTCACATTATTTTTCCACCCCAGTTTAAGAGTTTAACTCCCTGTCCGAAGAACACCAGCTTGACTTTCAGCATTTAAGCATGAAATAGTATTTCTTCTCTACTATTGCGGCCAAGATGAGCTGAAAAGCCAGGATGTGAGGCAGGCAGTACTTTCCAAGCCGCCTGCCGCACTGTTCTGCAAACTGTGATGCACGATGAGGCCAAGACATGCCCCTTTCTGCGCTCGTTGTGCCACCCTGAATTTCTGTGTTCTCTGCCTATGAAACAGCAGTTCCGTTCAAGTGGATGCCTCGATGGTCGGGTCATCTTGAAGCTCCCACTCCAATTGGAAAGAATAGGCTTTTTGCAAAAATCCCTCATTGCCTGCCCCCCCTGACACTGAAGAGAGCAAGAGGTATAGCACAGTTGCTCGCCTTACTTTGCTGTCGCCTCCCCGGTGCTGTGGACAGCGGCATCGTACTTTGAAAAAGGTCTATTCACCGATGCAGCTCTGGCAAGCTGGCGGTCCCTGTCCCTTGAAACACGAAAACGCCCTTTACGTGGTGTACCCTGAGGTCGAACCACATTCCTCTAGGTGCGATCTATGTGTTTCGGGCACTAAATCGTTTACCAATTATTGTGTTATCATAAGCACAGTCTTTCGACAAGGTCTGCAACAAAGATTTATTCTGCATCGTGCGTGGGTTTTGAGGTTTGGCGAAAGGAAGAAATGTCGCAACCATTTGCTCAATAGCAGACGACACGGAAATATGGAGGTGAGCCGCCAGTGTAGACGGAACTCTGTGTTGGCCACGGCGCCCATCACAGTTTGCATAACAATTCCACAGGCTGCCTTGATAGCAGCACGGGTCTTGCCTGTGGCGTTTCAACTTATTTTGGCTGTGATAGAGGCTGTTCCTCTATTTATGAGCGCTTCTTCCAAGAACCTGTAGGTTACGATTTCCGAGTTTTTGCTATTGACTTACCGGCGTCGTGTCGGTGTCCCGGGTAAGGGCCATTCATCTCCACGATGATGCCGTTGGCACACATGATGCCCTGATACTTGATGGCGTGCACACGCTTGTGGCCAGAGAAATAAAGCCGCTGGTCCTCCGTGGGTCGGCAGATGGGGCGGGCCGTTCCATCAACGAAACCCCAGCAATTCTGAAGAGGTGCCCCCTTCGCGCGGACCGCCTGCAAAAGCAAAATCAACAACGCACTTGCATTTTTTTCTTTTTTTGTGTTTTTAATTTAACTTTACAATATGCTTACCTCGGAGAACTCGTCCAAGCTTGCACGGTTCAACCACATGTGAGCTGACAGATCCGCGGTCAGCTGCCCGAACGTGGACGTCAAATGGTTTAGCACCACGGTCGTCGCACTCGAAAGTGTCGAAGAGTGGCGGCCAAACATGCCTTCCAGGTCGCAGAGGCGGTTGGGGTAGGAGGGTCTCCGCAGAAGAATGCACAGAGCTTCCTGCCCGGGGATGGCGACGTTCTGGGCCGTCCTAATTGTATGAGGGACTCGCAGCGCGCTACACAGCTCCATTAAGTCCATCTGCTCAAAACGAAACTGATGGCGGAAAGCTTCACTATCTATGTTGAGCACATCCAAGTAGCCTCGCCCGGACCTAAACCTCCGCGGAACGGGGTACTCCATATCCAGAAAGGAGAGTTCTTCAATTTCGTCCCACCTCAAAACAGCTAAGGCCAAGGGATCCTCGAAAACACACGTCGCCATGGCTCAGGTTGGTCACTCGCTCGACTCGCTCACGCCCGTGCCACCCGTGCTTTCTATGGCTTCCCGTGACAAGCCACGGGGGGGGGGGGGGGGGGGGGGGGCTAAATTGGCTTGTCTTTAGTTGGCTAGATGTAGCTTGCTGCTGCATTTCTCTAATTTCTGCAACTTATAAAACTTAATTGATGTTTTTTTTTAATTCTATTAAAGGTAAGAACTGTTATTTTTCCTTCAGTGAAACATCTTTCTTTTATTTCGTTATTTTTCGTTTTGGAAATTGCAAATCGTTTCCACTAGGGACTGCCCCAGCGCCTTAAGTGACCGTATCGGATGTATCGTCGTATCGTCTTCAAAACGGTCTACTAAACGCTCATTCCTGTTCTGTGTATCGGTATCGTATGGTTATCGTATCGTTATAGGGTATCGTTATAGGAACGATCTACTAAAACTCTCTAGTATCGGTATCGGGGCTATCGGGGGTATCGGAACGATCTACTAAAACTCTCTAATAAAGACGAATACGAAGACCGAGAGGCAAACAGGATCAGCGCTCATCCTGTTTGCCTCTCGGTCTTCGTATTCGTCTTTATTGTGCGCTTTCACTACTTTCAACATGCATAACCAACTCGCCTGCATCGCCACATTATTCCTGATATAATGATCGCACCACGTCATAAAATGCTCGCCCCCAAGCACCGCGCACAAGCTTCCTACTTTTTCGTGTTTCTCCCTTAGACTTGCGTGTATTGCCTATTGTCAAGCAATGGCCGCCGGTGATGCCAGCGACGGACTCACGATCCGCGATCCAGTCTTGCACTGTGAGAGTTCTAATGCATTGCACTCGCGGAGTGCTGCACGGAGAGCCGGCCCCGAAAGAACTTGCCAAATGCACCGAGTGCAGAGGTGGTAGGAAAGTACCGACCTCAAACCGAAACTAGCGCCTTTTTGTTCGACGTGATGGATGGGAATGCGAGAGTGCAGTCGCTGGCATCGTTTATCTATACACGTTGGTTGCTGCAACGTGTAACTTATATTTGCAATGACTTCCAATTAATCAACTTGGCTATCAGAGATATTTACAGACGGCTTAGGTTTCCGAAACCAGCTGACTACAAAACAGCATACTCTAGAAAAAACTGATGGCACTGTACGCGCAAGCGCTTGCTTCGTTTTAAGCATGGTATTTATGAGTGACCCACTGAAAGGATACGGCTTAAATCTAGTTCGTTGGAACATCTAGCAATACGTTTCATGAGACGTTTTATTTCCCTGGTGAGGGCGTTGAGAACGAGAGCTTTCTCAAACAAGAATCGACGGGGCAGGATAGCTGACGTTCAAATATGATTTTGCTCAAGCCTCGGGCAACGTCTCCATGCTCAGCTTTCCCGGACGCTGAGTGAATGCGTCACAGGTTTTTGCTGTGGGAGCTTTGTCAACAAATGTTACACTTTTCACTCGCACACGAATGATGTGAGATCTCGCGGCCTCTGTGTTTGTCCTGAGCCTTTCATTGCACACTGGTAGGTGTCAGCGTCTGTACGGCAACATAGCGACTCCAAATTTTGCAAATAAAATACGGGTCGTCGATTCCTCCCTTCGTGAAATATCAGACGCTTACAATTCAAGCTCGCGTTTCAGTTTGTAACCTTCGGGACGCGATTTAGAGCTGAAAATCTACCTTTTTTTTTCGGTTCCTCTGTGCGAATGCTTCATCGTAGCAGACGAGCTCCCGTCGTCTGCTCTTGCTCCTCGTCTGAGTGAGGCATGATGGGATTGCATTTTGGCCATCGTAATTAAAACGCGTCTCCGACTGTTTTTTTTTTTTTTTTATGTGACCAAAAAAGAGGTCCCTCGATTTCCGCCTTATGACGTCATAGAAGTGTCATGTTGTCGCCGGTCGCGACCCTGGCGGTGTCCCCGCAGCTGTGGTGGATGTAGCAGACGCCTGTTCAGCGTCTGGTCGCTCTCCACTGTGACAGGCCACGGAAGCTGGAGCAGCCGGAAGTTGGGACGCCTGGGACGCCGTGACGACAGTGACACTTCAGTTCGCTCGTTCTTTTCGCCAGCATTTCTACGACCAACCGCCAGGATCGCGACAGGCTACAGCGTGACACTCCGGCTTCTGTGACGTCATTTGTTGCCAATTCGGGACCATTTTTGATGTATGGGCGGGTTAGGACGCTAAACATACCAGTCGGAGACGCGCTCCAGGCAGCATAATTTTGGCGCAACGGCGCTACAGAGCCCAAAGACAACGCACAGCGAGCGGCGTGAACGCTCTCCTCCCCGCGCTGTCTCGTGCTCTCGTGGACCGCCTAGGGCCATTGCGGGGGATTTTTCGTCTTTCCAAGGTCAAAAGTTGCGAAGTTGAGCGCGCGCAGGGAGGAGGGAACTTTGCGGCGTTCTTTCGGTCACTCCTCCCGCTACGTCAGAAAGCAGATAATGTTTTGTTCCACAAGTTTAGCTGGGCTAAGCTGCTGACTAAAAATTACCATTTTCGTGGTCGTTATTCTGCCAGAGTAAATGTTAAGTCTTACGTGGATGTCGTGTAAATATGGCCCCATTAGGACATAAAGGTGTTTAATTTTTTTTTTTATAAAGTGTTCATTCTTTCATAATAACGTTCTACGCCCATTGTTTAAATAACACTTCATCGCGAAAGCATTGTATTTTTTGATAATTTTGTGTTTGTTATATATGGGATTTTATTTATACATACGTTTAAAAAGAGAACAATGTCTAACAGAATTGACACGTTAGGAAGACTAAGATTAAGACGTTGAAAACCAATTCCCTCTGTGAAATCAGAGCTTTATAGACAGAAATGCAACCATCCAAGCAACATAATCCGACAAAATAGCATCGATAGTCTGTTTCATACTTAGCGTGCAACGCTGTCAAAGCTACTGGCGCGAGCGCGTGGCTTCATCTGTGGTTTTGTTTGCGTGGAAGCGCGTGCAAATTATCAACGAGATCAAGTTTCGTGCTCGTGCAAGTAGCTTTGACAGCGTTGCACACTAAGTATGAAACAGAGTATAGGAACACAAGATATTACCAATCTAAAAAAGACTTAGAAGAAGCATATTCTACAAAATAATTAAAATTATTAAAAGTGCAAAATAATTAAGTGTTGGTATTCTTTTCCTTGAAGCTGGAAAAATATTTATATCAAGAATGATCAAAGCAGTACTTCTTCGGTGCGTCGACAACCAAAACGAGGTAATCGTGAAGGGCGTCGTTAAAATAAAATGAAAGAGAATGGCATTTATTAACCAGTACGTCATCAAAAACATCTCATAAAAGAAACCATCGTGGTCCGAAACGACAGCTATCTAATGACGCCCCCCTGGGAAAAATTGCTACGCTCATACAAACGTTTCGTCAAAGGTGTATGGTACAATACCAAGACGACCATCAATGACTACATAATTCGTGCTCCTAATGATACACGTATTAAAAGGAAGGCGTTCTGACTACGAGCATTGGCAGAAAGCCCCGTCACAGACCCCCAGCAGTCATGAACACAAGTAAACACTACAAGAGAGGCATGCTGAACTCGGATGCAGATATCAGAGATGATCATATTTTTTGTCTTCAAAGGTTAAGCACTTGACGGGGGTAAGATGCTGCCAAGCAATGAAGTGGGAGGTGTGAGGGGTAAAGTAATCTGCAGACGATGATAACAGGACCTAGCAATGGATATATCTTCAGACGTGCCGTCTTGATACAGGGGCACGTCCAGAGATGGGGACGGGAGTTGCCGCCAAGCCCAGGAAGGGCCACCTTGTGGAAGAAGTACTGGGGTTCTAAGTTGAACACTCGTCGAGAAAGTCGGCGAGATCGCCCACTTTCTGCTCGTGTGTTCAACTTATTCCCTCGACACTTCTGGGATGGCGGCGGAGGTCATCAGATGATCATGTGAGGGTCGAGAAGAAGCCTTGCGGCTCGTATGGCGAGGGCCGCGTCGTTAACGTTCCTCCGGATGTCGTCCCAGGCCTGTTTTACTTCCGGCGTGTTGGGCTTCATCCGGGCCAGGTAGTAGAGCTGGTCGTGGACGGTGGGAAAGCCAGCGCCGGCGTACGCGTTGGCCAGCTGGGGCGCAAAAGCCAGATGCCTGTGCAGAAGGGATGGAAGGGATTTCGCTTTCGTTTTTATGCGGCGAGCGAGTTCGTTCTCTTCGAGCGCAGAGAATGCGGTGACGTCAGAACGCCGAGCTCGACTGGAAGAATAGTAGTTAATGCAAAGGTTAGAGCACTTATATATCTACCCGCTGTACATCTCCGATCAGAGCCAGCAAAATAATTGTCTGCTCCTCCCGCGGAGGAAGCGATGGCGGCCCGTTTGAACGCCGAACGCCGGCGTCGTCTGCTAGCTGTGCAAGGACTGTCTCACCCTTTTCTACCTTTCTCGGAAAGTTATCGGCTCTTTACGGAGATAGGGCTTAGCCTTTGAAAAAGGGGAGAGGAAAATCCTCGATGGGCGCGTTGTTTTCGTCCACCGACTACGACCAGACGTGTTCCAAGGAACAAAGACCCACGGCCGAGAAACCGGGATGTCTGCCCCCGAGCGATGAGGAAACTGTTGCGGAGGCGGAGCTTCCTCGCGCACATGATTACTCTTCTTCACCGTGCCTCTGCTCCTGCTCTTCAATGCCGGCTCTCCCTTTTACGCGCGAAGATACGCTTTTTTTGTACAGACACCGTTTCAGTATTTATGAAATCAAAGCCCCGCGTGTTGCGAAATTCACAATTCTGCGTGCCTACGTTTGTCGCTTGGGAAAACGGGCAAAGCATATGCCATAAGCACGAACGGTCAGAAGCCCGTTTCTGGCGTGGTCTGTACGCCATCCTAATGTTTACAAGATCACAGTCTAGCGTGCGATCTTACATCCTAGTACGTACACGATGGTTGGCGCGCCTTTGTTATGTGCAGATTGGCGGAAAATATCCGGACTCCCCAATGTGCCAGCCGCCTGCCAGATAAACAGACAGCTTCTTGCATTTACTTCCTGACGAAATGTTTAGGATTTGAATATAGGTTAGTTTATCAGCGGAAGTAATTCAACGATCTCTTGGAAACAAAGTGTTACTTTTTAGATAAACTAGGTATTGCGAACAAGATCACTGCTAGTCGTGTTGGTTTCTATGCTTTTATGTGGTCAGTTGGATAAAAGAGCTTGAGTTGATCCCATTTAACATGAACATCTATGAGTACCCGTTGATACTGCAGAGTTCGTTGTATCTGACGGCTTGCAACCCCATTTTCGCCTTTGTCACATAGCGCAGGAAATGCGAACCTCGAGATGTAGCTTGATCACACGTCCAACGGGTAAGCAAAAAAGAAAAAAAAAACAAAAAAAAACAGCAACTATGTTTTGGAAGTTTACAAGATATCTACAGAAACAGACCTATATCATAAGTGAAGTCCCGTGTTTGAATAAACTTGGAAAAACAAAAAACTGAGAAAAACGCTTGCCGGTAAAATCTTTGTCAATTGGGATTTATTCGAAAAACTACGAATTTTGAGATTATGAAAACAAAATAAAATGCAATAAACAACAAGAAAAACGGTATTTTACGAATTAAGTTTATAAGAGCGCAAGGTTGGTGATCCTGAGGAGAGTCCACTTCAGTTTTTGAACATTTCTTTTGATCGGGCTCTTTGACGTGGGGGAGTTTCCCGTTTATGTCGTCAGGGTTCGTTCAGCGCTTTTGGGACAACTAAAAAAACAGTGCTCCGGCTTCCTATTTTCACCATCCATTTTGGCTTCTTAAAAGGAAGAAGGGCTTTTTTTTTTTTTTTATAACCGTGAAAGATGTGAACCTGTGGATTTCATGGTAGGTAAAGGGCAACGGAGGCTTTTAAACCTCCCAACGACAAAGTCCAGGAGTTTCGCTATTTCTAAGTACCCAGGTTTATTAAGGTAACACTTGTTTGCAAGACATGTCGTTGGACTGTTAGTAGTAATACCAATCGCAAGGGCGCCAATGTCAAATACAGCAGCAGAAATATCTTAGGATACCGGTTATTGTTTCTATGAATTTGTTGTAAAATTTTGCCCGGACAATATTTATATTAGAACGCAGCTCGTCGGTTCCAGTTTCCAAAGTGAGCTGCGTCGGCGTCGCCGTCGGCGTCGGCGTAACCGCGCGCGTTGCATTATGGGACGTTTCCTCGCTAAACTTATCCGGATACTTTTTCCGCTGAATTTAGCGGAAAATTTTTCCAACTAACTTTAGTGGACAAATTTTTCCGATACAATAATGTGGGAAAATTTCCCCGCTAACTTCAGCGGGAAAATTTCTCCGCTGAATTTAGCGGGTTAAGTTTGCCCCCTAAGTTTATCGGGGAAATCGACGTCACGGGACCTCAACACAAATTCAATTCCCCCCCCCCCCCCCTATTAAATTTAGCGGAGAAAATGATGTCGCGACTTCGTGTAACGTCAACCATGAAGTAGTTCAGCTGCATGAGGAGAGGAGCAGGAAAAGAGGAAGAGGAGGGAAGGAGGAGAGGGGGAGGGAAGAAGGAGGAGGGAAAAGAAGGAAGCGGGGACAAGGAGAGGAAGAGGAAGAGTAGAAGGGGAGGGGAAGGAGAGGAGGAGGGGAAGGGCCTAACCCCCTTTCCGTACCCTCCCCTCCTACTCCTCAAGAGCTGCGTTCTAGTTTCGCAGTACAGTGATTTGTAAACGCCTTTCATTTTGGAGCGCAGCTCTTAGACCACATTCACACAGCCGGCTTCTCGCCCCGTCCCGGCGCAAGTGCCGTAAGCGCCGAACCGAAATCGGGACGGTGCGGGGACGGTGGAGTGTTCGAGCCAGCGGCGACAGAGCTGACTGCGGTGGCTACGTTAATGGACGTGTGCTGGCGGCTGTGCCCTCCATATTGGGCGGTAGCTTGCGCCACTAAGTCTAGAAACCTTTCTGCACCATTCAAATTCTGCGTGTAACTTTCGTGTCCTTCAAGACTGTGTAAAGGGCCACCCACACTAGCGAGAAAACGCGCCCGGCGCGCCGATAAATCGGTTAAGCGGCAAGATAAAGGGCGCGTCTCTGCACGCGCTCGTGGCGCCGACTGTGCTTCGGCGACATTTTGTTACTTGCCGCGATCGGCGTGCCACGCGCGTTTTCTCGCTAGTGTGGGCGGCCCTTTAAGGGCCACCCACACTAGCGAGAAAACGCGCCCGGCGCGCCGATAAATCGGTTAAGCGGCAAGATAAAGGGCGTGTCTCTGCACGCGCTCGTGGCGCTGACTGTGCTTCGGCGACATTTTGTTACTTGCCGCGATCGGCGTGCCACGCGCGTTTTCTCGCTAGTGTGGGTGGCCCTTTACCGGTACAACCTATTAATTTCGTCCGCAATTTCACAGTACCCTTGATGTCTAACCCCAATCTTGTAACCCCCTCTTTGTGACTAACAAAGTTATTTCTTGGTAGCGGGGTCGATCACCAAGTGCGACGGACGATCGGCGTCGATGGGCACCGCCACAACTGTTTCGTTCCCTGTAGCTTGCGTTTGGGACGGCGATAGCCATCTTGCATGTTTGAAAACATTTTATTTGCCTCTACGCAGAGCCGTTTATACTGAGAGAGTTTGGCCGATGGGCGGAGCTTGTTGGCCGCTAGAACAAGCGGATTTCGCGATAACACAATATGGCGTTACTTCTTTGTCTTGTTCATTCCTGAGAAATCGCGTAGAGTTCCTATGAGTCAGAGCCACAATATGGCGGACGGAAGTAGTCATCCCCCGGTTGTCAGACTACGCTGCTGTGGTTGTCAGACTGTCAAAATCTCCTTAAGAAGGCCGAACTCTCTCAGTATAAACGGCTCTGCCTCTACGTTTTGAAACAAACACGACAAGACCCACTGCGACCACATTTCACATCCATCACTCCTTACGCTACATTTTCTCCCCAATGATCGACCACCGTGTTTTCTTTCTTTGACTGTTCTTCCTTAAAATCACATTTACGTCTATCGCAAAGGAACCGACGCGGTCTCACCATTTCGAGCAGCAGCTCAGTGTTAAATCCAAATCTCTGTATGCCCGTCGTTCAAGAGCCGTAAACATCACACAATGCGCCCGTCGTCTCGCTCCTTCCCGAAAAGAGCTTTGTTGGCTTCGTCATTAGGACGTTAGGGCACAGTACGGTCAATTCCCCCTCCCACGGCCCTGCCCATGGTCACCCAACTTTTGAGAATCCGCCAGAGTGTGCGAACGCTTCCTATTTTTGGATTGGTCTTGCCCCGTTTGAGCGGGACTCCGGCGCGCCCCGTCGCCCGTCAGCCCCGGAAACGTAGAACATCGTCTTTCGGCGCACTTCGGGTCCGGCGGCTTGATTTGATTTCCAACCCGGTCCGAAAACTCTCTTCCCCGGCGGGAACTCCGCTCAGCGCTCTCGCCGGGACGGGCAAAAAACGGCTGTGTGTATGAGGCCTTTTGTGCGCGCGTGGGTCGTGAGTTTCCCGGAAATTCCGCGTTTCGTGAAGTTTTTGCTGTGCCCAGTGCGCTTTCTGAGTCACAACAATGCGCGTTGGTTGGGACGTGCGCCTTCGGGCGAAAGGAGAGCATCTGCGCCAGACGGCGAAGAAACGCGGAGCCAGAACTGGTGCCCTCCGCCGATAGGCCGGGAGAGGAGCGCCAGCGCGTTTTTGTGCGCGTTCAGAAAAAGTTGGGATCATCCAACTTTCTTATGCGCGCCCGGAAGGCGCAAGGAATCAGCGCGACATTACGAAATACGCATTTTCCCGGAAGCTCACGGCCTACGCGCGCTCAAAAACGCGTTGGTTTGGATCGCGCATTAGGCACCCGTTTTCTGGTTGAGCGGCGTCGGCGTCTGCGTCCGCGCGTTGCGTTATGAGACGTTTACCCGCTAAAGTTCAGGGGGAAACCTAGCGGGAGATTTTTTTAGATAATTTTAGCGGAGAAATGTCCCCGCTAAATTTAGCGGGGAAACGATCCGACGTCTGAAGCGACCAAACTTTTCGGATCAGGCAGTCGTATTGTCTGATCGGACGTCGGATCGGATGGATTTTTACGCGCATGTGTCTCGCGCTTTACCCGAAAACGCAGAACACAATGCGAAGCGCAAGTTCGTCCGGTTCTTTAGCAGATGT